TTTCTAAAAGATTAAAATGTGGGCTATCCGTATCAACAACACATTGTGTAATACCATAGTGATCACGAAGGTCGATAAACAGCAATCCTCCATGGTCACGTTTACGGTGAATCCAGCCAGAGAGCTTAATAGTTTGACCCGCGTGGTCTTTCGTTAAGGCGCCACAATGATGGGTGCGAAAAGGATGCATTTTGAACCTCTTTTAAAACTTCGATCAATTAACTCTTCAAGCGCCACAAAATAGGGGGTAATGTCAAGCATATCTTTCATTTGAATATGATCTTATTTTTGTGACGCCTTTAACAACAACACAACAACTTCAAGAGCTCGTTCAAAAACTTTTATCCGATCCTTCAGGATTTGTGGCTGTGGATACAGAGTTTGTTCGGGAAACAACATATTATTCTCAGCTATGCCTTATTCAGGTGGCAGGGCAAAACGAAGAAGCACTCATTGATGTTTTAAGCCCTGATTTAGAGATGGATGCTTTGAAAGAATTGATGTTTGCACCAAACATTATCAAAGTTTTTCATTCTGCACGCCAGGATTTGGAAATTTTCTACACCTTATGGGGAAAAGTTCCAGAGCCTCTGTTTGATACACAAATTGCGGCACAAGTTTGTGGTTTTGCTGAATCGGTAGGGTATGAGTCTTTGGTCAACAATTACCTGAAAGAAGCCTTAGATAAATCTTCCCGTTTAACGGATTGGTCTAAACGTCCCTTAACGGATCGTCAGAAATCTTATGCTCTTTCTGACGTTACACACCTACGCCATATCTATAAAAAAATGATTCAACAGCTGGATCAAAAGGATCGTCGGGATTGGGTGAAGGAAGATATGGAGGCTTTAAACAATCCAAAGCTCTACTTCACGGATCCTGAAGAGGCTTGGAAAAAAGTAAAAGCAAGAGTGAGTGATCCGCGCATTTTGGCGCGCATTCGCGAAATTGCTAAAGTGCGAGAAACGTATGCCCAGGAAAATAATATTGCTCGGAAACGTGTTCTTCAGGATGAAAATGTGGTTGATATTGCAGTGCAACGACCTAAAGGTGTGGAAGAGCTAAAGGGACTGCGTCGCCTAAAGGAACGAGGCATTAGGACAGAGCTTGCGACTCTTGTGATCAAAGCATTAGAAGAAGCCGATT